GTTTGTGACAGTGCTGGCGTTGGTCGAACAGCCTGCTTTATCGTCATAGACTCCATGTTAGAAAGAGTGAAACATGAAAATACCGTCGACATATACGGACACGTGACTGTGTTGAGAACGCAACGTAACTTCATGGTCCAGAACGAGGTAAATTCATTTTTAAAATATGCGATACTAAAACTGGAACACTTTTACAATCAAAGGACGTTTGTTTATGAACACCATTGCCATCTACAAAAATTATCAATATTTTCCTGTGTCACGTACATGAATCTAAGAATTGCACACATTACAAAGTCTGCAAATGTGTTCTTTTTTCTGTGTCCTCCTGCATATGAGGAAAACATAGACCCTTTACACCTTAACAGCAGTATGCAACTTCTCCATACTGCTGTTAAGGTGTTAATCTTTCTATTCTGATGGCCTCCCTAATGCTCGCTTCTTTAGGAACAATACATCTTTATTCACGACGCGCTCCTTGAAGCTGTATCCTGCGGTAATACAGAAGTCCATGCGAGGAACCTGGTTCAACACATCAAGCGACTCACAGAGGATTCTGAAGGTGGAACGGCCGGCTTAGCAGAGGAATTCAGAAAGCTTAGTAACCCCAATCAAGCTCGCCGACTAAAGCAGGGAACGGGAAGTCTGACCTGTAACAGATCGAAGAACAGATTGGCAAACATTTTACCATGTAAGAGACCTTTACGATTTTATATACACCGAATGCAAATATGGCGTCCAATTTGAATTACCATTGTTCTGGACTCACTAGCCTCGTCTTCTAGTGGAGACACAAAAGGATTATTACATGTGCGAGAGGCTAGTGAGTCCAGAACAATGGCAACTCAAATTGGACGCCATATTTGGATTCGGAGTATAGTTAACAACTATTCACCAAAGTGGAGGTGGTTAGTGGTGGATATTTACCGAGCCGCGAAGCGGCGAGGTAAATATCCACCGCTAACCACCGACACTGAGGTGAATAGTTGTTTTAGTATATACTAAAACAGTGAGATAATATACACCACCGTCGTTAATTTGAGTGATTTCTTCGCTTGTCACGGATGCAAACCGGGACGCCATTTTTTCCCGAGTTGCTCGGAGGTAAATAGCAAAGGATATTCGGAGTTTGACTAGCCAATCAGAGCGCGCCTTCAACGCTATCCACTGTTTTAGTATATACTAATACTTTTTATCCTTCACTGCGAGATCAATGTTTTCATGAAAAGCTCGCAATACCTCCTTTTATGTTAAGACACTGAAACATCTTTAAAAAACACCTCCACTCTGGAGATTGTCTGAAGAAAAAACTACTGTAGCAACATTTCTCGTGAGATACGTGACGAAGAAAGGCTAAAATGGATGAAAATTTTCAATTTCAATTAAAAACGGTTATCTTTGGACGAAACACCCTCAGCAATTCACTGACCTTCAAAAATGGGTCGTGAAAATTCAACCTAAAAATTTTAGAACAATTTTTTTCCTATCCCCGTTAGTCTTCTCCATCTGTAAACTTTCTCGTTTGAATTTTTCAGTGTTTAAGGAAACGAAAGAAAAAAGAAAGTAAGAAGGAAGAAAAGGAAAGATTTCTGGCGGCAAAGCTGCTCAAGTTGCAATAAATACTTGCCCATGTTGCGCACAGCCTCTTAATGCTTTTCTTCTTTTCGTTCGACAGACGAGTCAACGAGAGTGCAGTTGCTGTCTACTCGTGGCATCGAAGGCTCTGATTATATCAACGCGAGTTTCATTGACGTGAGTAAAACGAACAATTTTTCAAACGAGTCCTGTTTCTCCCCGAGTTTTTTTTTTATTTTTTTCGGAATTGACCGTACAGAGAACTGGATCACGTGATGTATCTTCCAACCGGGTGGTCACGTGCTATACTCCCACAGTGCCTCACTCCGGTCAGGAGTATTATTAGGTACCGGCGAACTGTGTGAGAAATCTGAAGAAATGCTTGGGGGAGGGGTAGGTGGAGAAACCAAGATATGCTTTGGCTGTTAAACTATGTGGCTAGAGTGCAACCTCGTCCAATTAAAAGTTGTCAATCCCTCTCTTTCCAGGGCTATCGTCAAAAAGGTGCTTACATCGCCACACAAGGTCCTCTGCAGGAAACGGTCGATGATTTCTGGAGAATGTTGATGGAGCATAATTCGAACATCGTTGTCATGTTGACGCAGCTTTTTGAGGGAGACAGGGTAAGCTAAAATAATTCAATTATTAGCATAATTAGCATAATTACCAATATGAAAGGGAGACAGGGTAGGCTAAAATAATTCATTGATTAGCATAATTAGTATAACTACTAATATGAAAGGGAGACTGGGTAAGCTAAAATAATTCATTGATTAGCATAATTAGTATAATTACTAATATGAAAGGGAGACTGGGTAAGCTAAAATAATTAATTGATTAGCATAATTAGTATAGTTACTAATATGAAAGGGAGACTGGGTAAGCTAAAAGTATTCATTGATTCGCGTAATTAGCATAATTACTAATATGAAAGGGAGACAGGGTAAACTAAAATAATTCATTGATTGGCATAACTACCAATATGAATTAATTAGGAGAGTCGCCAAATAACTGCTTTGCTCATTGTGGGCTACAAAAAACGTATGCGTGACATAACATCTACATAACAACTACAAACCATGAATACAATTTTAGTGAACTACACTATCTCCTTATGACGTTGTTTCAAATTCTGCCCAAATGATGCTGCTCCCAGTAAGCTTTACCATTTATGGAAGACTTGATTATTTCCAAGACAAAAAAACAGTGAATTTATATTACTGTGTTGAACTCCTTCTCCTCTCCCCCTCCCCGTTAGGAGCGTTGTTACAAGTACTGGCCGACTGATCGCTCCGCAAAGCACCAGTATTACGTAGTGGATCCTGTTTCTGAACAAGAATTTGCTCAGTTTGTTGTCAGAGAATTCAAGGTTAGAGATATCATGGTAAGTAAATATTATGTACTTATTGACTGAGTTGCAGCGCCGGTCGGGAAATATTTGGCTCGAGGTAACGACGCATCAAGGTGCCTCGTTATTAAGCCACTGTAGTACAATTTGCTATGATGAATACGATTAACCAAGAAATTGAATTTTGTTCGCAATTTAATCCGTGTCACTCTTCTTTCATAGAACGACACAGTAAGAATCATAAAACAGTTTGACTTTTACGGATGGACCGAAAGCGTCCCAAAGAACGGTGAAGGTATCTTGGAGTTAATTGGCCAGATACAAAGAACATACGAACAGCAAGAGGAGGAAGGCCCCATCACAGTACACTGCAGGTAAATGAAGTTATGGTTCGTTTCCATTGCACTGAATCTCAGGCATAATAGGTCGAGGAAGGCATTCCAATCACGAGAAGAAAGTCAATAAATTGCTGCCGGGTTTTTCACGTTTCTCAAATATCTTAGAGCTGGTTAAAGTTCCAATATGATTATATTGGAGTTCCCTCGATGGAAATTTATTTTTGGGATTAAACTGATATTTACACACGTGACGCTTGTTTTTATCCTAGTGATGGTGTTGGTAGAACTGGAGTATTCTGCGCCCTCTCTATCGTGCTGGAGCGCATGCGCTCTGAGGGAGTGGTAGATCTCTTCCAGACTGTGAAACTCCTTAGAACGCAGAGACCGAACATGATTCAAAACAAGGTGTGTATGGTATAGAAAAATGTGGTAGATGTGTACTTATTTCGTCTTCTGTGACCTTGGCTAAGAGATTCTAAACAATTAATTATGCAAATTTCCTTTGGCAAAGGAATTTTACTTTCTTGATTTAAGCTTTGGTGTTGTTTTTGCTTCTCGTCGAAGATTTCATTTCCATTACGTGTCTGGCTAATGGCTATCTACCTGACTGAATGTCTGAGCGACAGACAGATTATTAACTGGCTGGCTGGCTGGCTGACTGACTGGCTTTAGGCTAAGTGATTGACCGCTGACCGTTTAATTGATTGACCAACTGACCGTCCGACCGATTGACTGACTAAGATTGACAGAACGACTGACTACCCGAGCGACTGACTGATTCAGTAACTTAAAAGTAAGTGACCGTTTAGAAATACGCATCTCTAATATTTTATTTTTCCTTTCTCCATCAGGAACAATACCTGTTCTGTTACAAAAGAGCACTAGAGTACCTCGGCTCGTTCGACCATTACGCCGTCTGAGGAATCATGGAGTGTGAGCCGACAAATAGTGTTGACAACTTAACCCCTACCACAAAGTAGAATGCAGATGCGTAGGAAATCATAGTTACAAAACCAGTTATCACATCTCCTTGATATGTCGTAACCGACAGCAAAGTATATCACAATTTCGCCCAATTTGCTCGGAGGATAAATGTAAAATCCTGAAAATGAATTTGAGTGAGAGTCAAAGATTAACATGGATGGCCTGAAGGAGCCTTAGTCTCGAAGCCAACCTGGACATGGCAAGAGAATCTCGTGATAGAGCTTAAACACAGTATCTTGTTCTGTTAATATTGGTACTTTTATTTAATGGATGCTGGAACTGTCAGTGGTATGGTAACAGAAGAGCATCGAAGAGAACTCAAGTCGATTCTTGCGAGAATTGAACTGAACAGACTTTGATTACGAAAGAGAGGGTAAGCACAAAAGATGAGAACAGTAGGTGAGATAATGACGCTAAATGAGAAAATAAGTATATTAAAAAAATAAACAGTTTGAATGGTCACAATAGATTGACAAAAAGGGTTTTTAAAATTTGTGTAATTTTGATCAAATCACCTTAAAAATGCCTTTTGGTTAATAGGAGGTTTGGCTTACAAGGCCGATTCTTATATTAAAAGCTAATAATCTATTACCTTTTTGTAGCTTTAAAAGGAGCGTCAACTTGAGAAATATTTATGCCAAGGGAGGCAATCCTTTTTTTAATTCTTTTTTTTAGGTTTTGAGATATTTTTTTTTTTGGTACGGAATGTGATCCTCTGACATTGTAAGCCGCATACATTTTTAAGGTTAAACAGTTTATGGATATTTTTATATCGGCATTAATTTGCATGATTGAGAGTGCTCGTTCGTGATTCTTACGTCGGCTCTATGGCAACACTTTTTTTTTATATGTATCACGTTTAATCAGCTTTGTTTTCATTGAATGCTAGCATAAAAAAATTTCCCATAGCTACTGATACGGCTGCTATATTGAATGAATGAACTTTTGCTCGTAAGAATCGGGAATTTTTTTTTTTTTTTAACATAGCTGTCGCGTCGTTTCCTATTGAGTGTATCACTCTACCTACAGACCCCATTTTTCAATTCTATCCATGCGTGAGGCTAATTGAATAAATAGTTTCTTTTAGTTGGGAGTTATTTCTTCATATTTAATCACAAAATTGATATATCGATACCTGTGTTAAAAAATTTTTATCCCGAGATGAGAGGTAGCTTTTACAAAAAGATTGCCCGTTTTCCCTGGGAATTATTTCTTCATTTATTCGCAAAATTGATATATCAATTCCTGTGTTATAATTTGTTTATCCTGTGAAGAGAGGTAGCTTGTACAAATAGATTGCCCGTCTTCCGTGAGACAAACAAAAGAAGACGGGAAAGTCTTGGCACTGACTAAATCTTCCTCTCTGCATAATTTCAAGGACTTTTAATAGGTTTAGACCTCAGCAATGTGAGCGCCAAACGTAAGCAGCTCTTTTGTTACAACCTTTTTGATTCGCTAATATTTTAAACCAATCAAATCCTGTGAATGCAAACGTTACTTTTGGCCCTGGTTATCAACCAGTGGAGTCACAAATAATTGAGGGTGCAATTTCTAGAAAAATTCTCTAACTTTAACTACATTTAATCGTTTGTCAGCTTGCTGTTAAAAATGTCAAATTGCCTTTATTTTTTAAAGGTAGGAGTTCATGCTGCTGAGTTGTTATTTTAGTACATCAAGTATTTATTTACCACACAGAATTTTTTCTTATTTCTTGTTTAGAATTTTTAGTTGTGAGATGGATTTGTAACTTTTTAATGTAGATAATTCTATGTATAGAGAGAAAGAATTATATTTTTATAGCGAACAATAATAAATAATTGAAAATCCATTGATGCAAAAGCTTTATACTTCCAAAAAAACTCTCGCACCCGAGTTGAATAGAGGCATGTACGAAAGCTACGTTCCTAGTACTCGGCAAGTTTCGTCGATAAAGGTCAAATGCACCAAAACTTAGACATCTTTTCAATTGTGTCCAATGTTTTCATTAAGAATATACTAAACACATTCTAAATTGGCCGAAGCATTACGGAGGTATTTGAATGCGAAATCACTCGGATTGCGATCAAGTCTTCACGTTGGAAGCAGACTTAGTGAAAATGCGGTTTGGTTTACCAGAGTGAGGGAGCAAAACATGAGAACCTAGATAATGATAATTTTTTAATTTTAAATTTTGGTCTCCTCAGAAAAAAAAGAACAGGCCTTCAAATAGCACATTTGCTTGGAATCGAATCAATCAAACAGTGTTAGCAAATACCAGTCAAGAGTTTCACATGATGTATGGAAAATGAACTTGTTAGTCTAGCGGCTTATCCAGTCTCGGTCCTGCCTTGTGTAAAGAAGTGCATTTCCAAAGTGGTACATGGACAACTCCTCTGGGGGTAAAATTAATTTGGGCCATTCCCTCGATCACATATTCACCCTCCTGCTCGCAGCCTGCATCAAAATGGAACCTTCCAGGCCCGACTGGTCCCTCACCAGAAAATGTCCCTGTATATGTGTAGCTTGACGTTATAAGTTTTCCATGGTCTTGAAATTCCCCATCGCTCCAGTTACCTGGAAAACAATTAACATGAACAGCGTGAATTTTTTTGTTTACACTAGCTGTTACCACTTCATCAAAAGTTACGGTGTTTTTATTCACTAACGGTTGGTAATAATACTTAATTACAATTTTCTCTGAACAGATCTATCCTTTTAGGAGAATGAATTAATACTTTCTCATGACTAACGCAGTTAAACGTGATGTTTGATAAATTGATTCTTTCTTTCCGAATGATGTCTGAGCTAAATTTCTCGACTACTATTCTGTTTCACATTTTTATGGTGTTAAAGCGCCCGCAAACAATTCCCTTGTTAATTAAGCCGTTTTTCCTTCCTTTTTTTTTCTTTTTATTTTTGTTTTTTTCCTTCCGCCTGAACGGTGTCATAACGCTTGAGCCTTCTTAGAACTCCAAACTATATGCTGGGTTGTCTATCATTCACTGTAAACGCCATGAATATTTGTGGAATTTTTTTCCTTTCAAAACGAAAGCCAATCAAGCCAATCTGCGCAGAACTAAAGAAGTGAGGCGTTTGTGCGCATCATTACCATCATCACACGGCGCGTCAACATGGTTTTTTTCACTCGCTCAACAGACTACGCCGAAAAGGAAGGACTGCTTATAATCTAGTATTTAGATTGTGGTTCTAAGGTATACTCGCGGTTAATACACGGTGGACCCATAAGAATTACCCCTATATCGAATCCCTTGATGCTTGTAGACATACTCCCCTTGTCCGTGTTTCCGGCCATCTTCCCAGAGTCCTTCATATCTATCGCCATTTGCATATGTGTACACGCCAAATCCATTCCTTAGACCCTCGGCCCAGGTTCCCTCGTACACTGACCCGTCAGGGTACCAACATTTTCCTCGACCAGATTTTTTGCCGTTCTCGTATTCTCCTTCGTATCTGTTGAGAGGAATTACTTGTAGTACACGTAATGTATGAAGATTCAGTCCGTCTGTCAAGTTTATTTTGTCCGTTTTTCTTTTTTAAGAAAATAAAATCTTGATTCAGTTATTATCACTTTGTCGGACATTGTAGTCCATTTTGCGGGGCTAAAATGGAGACTTTGGGGTAATTGTGATTGTTGCCATTCATCCTTTTAGTTTTTGTTTTCACGATGTCCTTCAAAGTGATAATAAAAGTTCTTCAGTTTACGTTCTTTTTTTATTTTGGCATAGTTATGTTTTGTGTCATTCCCTGAGTCATTTTAACTCTCGCCTAAAGGCCTGGGCCCAAAACGACATATTTGCCACGAAGATAAACTGACAAAAAACTTGCCAGAGAAGAAAAACCAACATTTTCGGCTCAGCAGATGAGTAACAATAAGTCACCTTGCTTTACCGTTGACGAACATGTATTTTCCATAACCATGTCTTTTGCCATTCTTATAGTCTCCATCATACTCGTCCCCATTCGGCAGCAGAGCTCGACCAAAGCCATGCCGCTCTCCCTTCTCGTTTAGTTCTCCATCATACTTTTTCATAAACAGCGATATTCCTGGCGACTCATAGCTTTCTACACTATCAAGCGACATTTTTTCGGCTGAACGGTTCGATTCGTTTTTCTTCTATCCCATCCGTTTCACAGGAAAACAAGTAGCAGTAATGTATTCCTTTTTGTCAAGAATACTTTGGGAGCGTCGGTTCGTTTTAATTGTTACCTCAGTAATTATTTGCATTCTGTCAGTGGCGCGTGCTAGAGCATGAATGACGCTACAGTCACGTAGCCTTCTCGTATTTATTTCCTGCGGGGTTACGAAACACGGCGGTTTCAAACGTTGTAATGGCTAACAAGCGAGCGTTCAGGCTGTCAGAACCAAATTGTGTCACTTAAGTTACAAACAACCCCTACAAGCTAGTAAATCCCTGTGTTTCGAAAGCTTATAACTTCTTCGATAAACAGAAGGGTAAATCAACTGGAAACCCGTACTTGAATAAGCATTGTGTTCAAAAAGTCTTCATTTTACCCACTCGTGTTTCCTTTCACAGACTTCTATGAACGTTTCAAATGTTCTTTCGCCAACTTTGCGAAACAGCGGTCGTTTCTTTTGTTTTTCTTTGAATTGTGCGCGGGAAATTGACGTGCACCTAGCCAGAAATGACCACGCTCCGCATGCCTGGCGTGTGACCGCTGTGCAAAGCTGTAGAGCCTTAAGGCCCTAAACATGACAGCACGGAAAATGCGTGCACCGTAAGTACCTTCCGTTGTCCCATACAAAGCCTTAGAAAAGTTTTCTGAGGTTTTGTAAGGGACAACGGGAGGTACTTACAGTGCACGAATTTTCCGTCCTATCATGCGGCAATAGAAAACCTGAAAGTCATTGGCAAACAGGAAAATACAACATAGATTGTGTGCTTTGAGATTTAATTAGGTTCTGTCATTTTCAAATCGCGAGTCAAACAGTCGTCACTAATCAAGAGAAAAATATTTTTTCTCTGGCACTGAGTAAGTCCTTTGCATAAAGTTGAGATTTACAAGTGGCAGAAATATGGTACGTCCAGAACTCTCGATTTCCGGTTTGTTAATAGTAAAACCCATGAGATATATATCAAATATATCGCTCTTGTAAAACTCTTGCAGAACTCACATTCACATTAAAATTACCATGACGACCACAACTGAATGCCTTTTCGAAGGCCTCTTTAAACTGCGGATTCATAATCCCATAGATGATTGGATTTGCCATACTACCGGAGAAAATGGAATACGTAATTACCTTATGCACTTCAGGTGGGATATAGCTTCCAGCACTGATTATAAAAGCGCTTGGGAATGAAGGACCCGATGCAATTAAAAGGAAACCAGCCAATGGGAAACGACTCTTCATAATTTTATTGTCAGTACGATGAAACCTCGGTAAACCGACGCCATTTTGTATCACATGAGCGTTGACGCTATACGTGCTTTCTTTCAATTTTGCTGTAAATTTTCCAATAAGACTAAAACATCGCACATGTTATCACGTTGAAGAATCCTGTAAATATGCAAGATGACCAGAGTGTGTTCTTCCTAACTTCTACTTGAAGATGCTAAGAAAGGCATCAGGGTTGTAATTTATTATTCTCCAGCCATACAGCGGGGATGTGGCGAAAAGCACTGAAACCAGCCAGACAAGATTAGAGAACAACCAGGAAGCTCTTTTACTGGAAAAGAACTTTTTATACAATTGGAAGGCTGGCTAGACGACTTTTATGTATCTGTTCAGGGGGCGATTAAGCCCATATTGAACATGTAGCACTGATGCGGAAACGTCACACCATTCATGGCTCCCTCCAATTCCATGTTCCCAGCCGTAGACAAGCTCATGATCCAGAGCGGCATGTTGAACGTCGCCATGAAGATATCAGTCAGTACAAGATTGTGGATGAAAATGTTAGTGATAGTTTCCATTTCGGAGTATTTATTTATTAAAGTTTTTACACGATTAAAACAAACTTCTGCTTCTTTTTATTCTGCTCACATCCAAATAAACGGTTACAACAACAGAGAGAGAAAACAAAATACACTAGTATGTATATGCTAATTCCTAAAAAAGAAAGTTTGAATAACAAAAGGAAAAGCAACATCTGGACCAATCATAGGTCAAATTAACTATTCCTGTGAAATACTTCATATTTGAAATAACAACCGCAAAACATAATATGCATAATAACAACATTTATAACATAAACAAGCAGCACATTGCCAAGTATAGAACTGAAAGCAAATCAGAATGGCGAAGGTTACTCCTAAAAATGTTTTTTCTCTCGAGCGATCAAAAGGATCTTGAAAAGTTGTTTGAGACATCCTTATCTATTATTTAAGCTTCATTAAAAGTCGAACAGCAATCTCATTTTCCGAAAAAAAAGTTGTACGATATCAATCCAATCAGAAGACTTGCAGTGTACAGCCTTCGGCCTCAAGCAAATGAAACCTGGCAATAATTCTTTAATGTGATGAGCCAACACTCAGCTCAAGAGCATCTTTGATAAACATGTCACAAAGTTGAATAATTAGAGAACGCTCAAATCATAAAGAATACTCACTATTTTGTAGGTCGCTAAATCTTTGAAACTCAGGTTAAAACCTGGTTTACACCCTTTCAACCTCTACTGGCTTTACGTTCACTGACGCCGTAATCGGGAATCAAAGAATTTTATACTAACTGTTAAGACTTCTGCTTGAAGGTCGACTTTGTTGAATTCGAAACACATCAGCACAAGTTACGATCATCAGTTGTATTCATGTGTTTCGAATTGTGTTTTCAATTCAATTTTGCTATTCACAATCATTTATTACTTATTCTTTAGCCTGAGCTACTTTACCGAAAGGGAAGTGATGGCTGAGATTTCCGTTGAAAAGTCGACTTAAAAACAGAGGTATTGAATTCGGAACAAACTGTCGCTCAAGATTCTAAGTTCCTCAGTTTTGTTTCATAATCCATTATTAGTTAATCTGAATAGTAAATTTGTGGTTAAGAAAAAGAGAATGCCGGAAAAGGCAACTTTTGTATTTAAAGTAAAAAGAAATCTTAAAACCTCCTTTGTACAAACATCTGAAGGCCGGCAAACTGGGAAAAAACCTCGATGTTTATCTCTGATGACAGTTCATCGTATTTCTCCTCTGTTGTCCCAATCTGATAAATCATTTTAAATAAAAGACTCGCAGAATCATTTCCCCCTATTCTAGAGGACCGGAGATAATCATACCTCACCTTTACTCATTTCTTTAGCGACCAACTTATGCTCCCTTCTATGTATTTTTTTTCAGTGTGCATGTGTGTGTGTATGTGATAACGTTGGTTCTGTTTTGAGCACACTGAACACAAAGCTCCCTAAATTAATTGTATTCTTTCTACAGGAAATATCTATCTTTCCCCAAAGAAAAGCTGATAGCAGACAACGAAAACTCAAATTTTATCATTCGTTTAAAGTCATGCATTGATTTCTGAGTGATATTCTTCTGTTTCTATGGTGTCTACTTCAAAACAAATCAGACTCGAACATTAAAATTGTTCTGAGTCATTGCTCTTCTATCGTGTCTATTGTTACGTCAAAGCTTTTTCACTACTGTGCAGAAAAAGGAAAAATGACTCTGAAAGTTTTTTTATTTAAAATGATTTATTTTCTTTGGACAGCTACGACCAGAGTGCACCATGGATTTTAATCAAGGGGTTCGCACAAAGAGAAAACGGTGAAAACGGCGTTTTCGTCTCCAGTCGGCTTTCAACTTTTTGCACTGTAGAAGACGAAGAGTGTCCTTCCCTGCAAATGCGAGACTAGTTTTTTCCCTTTTCGCTTTACTATTTTTTCAATCATTCCTTAGAAAAAAGGAAGCAGCCGACTCATTTCCTCTACGTTGTAGGTTTATTTCTACAGAGGAGGCTCATTTTATGGTGAAGGCTCATTTTTACAGCCGGTGATGGCTCATTTTTATAGACGAGGCGCATTTATTACGGAGGAGGCTCATTTTTACAGGTAAGGTTCATTTCTACGGAGGATATTCGTCACTTCGGAGGAGTCTCATTTTTACGGAATATTGTGCTCGGCAACTTTTAAGCAACTTTTGGCGTTTGGAGCAACTTTTTCTGGTTCTGGCAAACTTGTGCAATTTTGCCTTTGTAAGCAGTTTTCGAGCAAAATGTGAGTTTAGAGCACACATCAAGCTTGAAAAAGTCAATGATTTCAGATAAAACATCAATTCATGCGAATTTCTTAAATGTGTATTGATAAACTGTGTGTTTTTTTCCGTTTTCCGTCTTTCAACTCTTAAAACTGCCAAATTCAAACATAGCAAAATCAATTTCAAGACCACTGTTCAAGGATCTATTTATTTTCATCCATCATGATTCTCTATATAACCAAACATATACTGTATTACCAAAAACCGGCTCCCCTTTGAACTTTGACTAAGTTTCCACAAACTTTCTTTTGCTTTCATGAATTGTTTCTCCTATGTTATCCAAGTTAAAACAACCATGATCACTGCAAGTCTGACTCCAATCCTTAATGATTCCTCTTCAATTATTATAATAATTGTCTGTTTAGTGAAGTTAACATGGCTGAATGGAGTGCTCCTCAATCGAGTTTCATAAAACCAAAACGAAAGTAATCATATAGGTCAATCATAGAAAAAGAAAATATCTTCAAGAGCCAATAAGAACTAAAAGCAAATAAACCAAGATGTTTAAAGCAGGAGAAAATGCAGCTGACTAATTAAATCGTGACTGGTTTTAATTTTGCTTCTGATTAGCAGAGAGACTGGGGCGAAATTTCTGCACCAATCACAGAGCGAAGTAAAGCAAAACCAATAAAATGCCGGATAACTTTCAACACTTACTTGGAAATTGCTTTAGTTCCCAAGGTCAATTTTTGCGTTTTGGTCGAAACGAGGCGAGTCTCTGGCAGACCAGAGAGGTGAAACAACAAAACGAGGGCAGTGTCTACCAATCTTTTCCGAAAATGAAAACTTTAAAAATAAAAGGAAACTATTATTCTAAAGAATTAAATGATCATATTGTCAGTAGTCAACTAGTTTCATTGCTCCTCGGATGTATTATTTCAGTTACAACTCTTGCATGACTCTGATCTGTATTATCATTGCCATAACGACCACAGCAAAATACCTTTTTAAAGGCTT